TTCAATTCTGGTGTGTGAAAATGCCGTCTAGGTGTGATTAGAGGCTGCAGTCATGGAACTGCAGCTGGAGCTGTCACAGTTGCAGTTGTGCTAGTTACGCCAAAGCATAGGTAACATGGAATAAAATTAAATTTTACCTAATGTATCAGATTTTAGTTTTCAGTCACTTTGTGATTATTCTTACTCTCCATAGGGAGTAATCTGTTAGCCTGATTTAGAGAACGTTATTTTATGTCACAAATATTTATTCTTACCTCTAAGGGTAAATAAATCTGTTTCATTATTGAGCAGGCTGGCTTTGACCTTTGCCTGTTGAAAACCCTGTCTTGTTTCTAATTGCTGAAGACAAAGTTTCTAAGTTTTCTACTCAGTTACTTATTAGCCTGAATAATACAAAGTCCAGCATGTGCGGTCTCCACGTGTTACTTCTATTTGCTGAGCTACTGTGCTGGTCTCCTTTATGCATTGTTTTGTGCTGGCAAAGACCTACTACGAGATTTAAGAGTAAATGATATATTTACAATAGTATCTAAATGGAATAATTGTGAAAGTTTTAATAATAACTGGCATAACTGCTTTCACACCGGCTTACCTAGCTTTTGAAGGCTGATTTACTCTGCTCAACCTGCACAGCTACCTGAACGTCACTGCAGGGCAGTGTGGTGGGAAATGAAAACGAACAAGAGTTTCTATCCCATAGCCAGCACTAGGACTTAATAATTGCTGCCTTCCTAAAAATGCATAAGCTAGCATTAACGCTGATGGTAGCATTAGTGAAATGTAGTCACTGTTCAGCTCCACTGTGTGGAGCTTGATGTTTTTAGAGAGATTTTGCAGAGCTGTGACAGCTTTTCTAGCCCACTTTCACAAAGCAAAAGCATGCACCTTTTTTTGCATGCTGCCATAGGGGAGCCCGCCTCTTTGTCCCCCCTCCCTTTTTTTTTTTGGCTCCTGAACTACTGTGAATGTTGTTGATCAAAGCAAGCACAGCACCTTCTTGGCATGACCTTGCTTTTCTTATTCCTACAGTCAAGAGTGATGTTCACACTTGCCATCCACTTAAGCTATGGGAAAGGCAGTCCAGCATTTGTGCACTTAATGCCTACAGACAAGTCTGGGGTGTGCTGCGAGGGGTGTTGGTGTTTCAGAGAGCAGCCTTCCTCCCTATATATGGAAGAAATACACAAGTAAATGCTGTAATGACAATAAGAGGATGCTTGGGGTCAGAGGGGTGACTGGTGCTAACAGTTTTAAATTGTTATGGGTGAAATAACGTCCACTTGATTGTCTGTTGGGGCTGTGTGTGAGATTTCAGCAGATGCAAGACAAATTCTTGAAGCATAGATTTGTCCTGGTGACTTGGAAGCAAGGCTCCTGTCTCATGCTGCACCCAGCTGTTGTCCTCCCATTGGGCGTGTCTATGGATGTTTGAGTTGTTGAGGCCAAATGAATGGTCAGAAAGATGGAGTCTCAGCTTGCTTGTGCATTGCTACTGTGTGTCTCTTTGCAGGGTGGGTTGTTTATGGGTTTTGGGTTTTTTTTATATCTGACAAGAAGCTCATATTCTTAGCCAAGGAGGGCTGGGCAGATGCTGCTGATGGTTTTTCCAGGTGATGGCAAGAAAACGTGTGGCAAACTTATCTCACATGTTAGTATCTATTTAATGGCATTTCACCAGCACTCAAATGCACCCTGCACGTACCATCATTTGGGTGTTTTTAGTTACCTGCTTAGCAAAGATGATGTTTGAGCTGCCAAGACCCCCACCTTGACAACCATCTGAGCTCACAGGGTTGCCTTTAGCAAAATAAAACTTCAATGTGCAAGCTGGAGCAACTGGCCGTGCTGCTTAGTGTGGTTTTGCTGGGAGGAGAGTGGTGGTGATGGTGTGGGATGTGAGGAGGAGACAACGAGAGGTCTTCTTCGAGAGGTCTTCTTCGAGAGGTCTTCTTCGAGAGGTCTTCTTCGAGAGGTCTTCTTCGAGAGGTCTTCTTCGAGAGGTCTTCATAGCGCTGTTAGTTTTGTTGTTTTGGTTTTTTTTTTTAACCCTTTTCTATCTGCTTTATCTCCTGGGGACCAGCTCTGTTGAGTCACTGCTGATCTTTTTCACTGTTTCTAAAAACTGTTTAAACAGTTATTTGTGTTCTCAGCTTGGAAGGGAGATGTGCTGCTCTGTCTCACGCAAGCCCTCTTCTCCAGCCTGCCATGGCCCACGGCTTGTGCTGTGCTGGCAGCTTCCCACGTGGGGCTGAGCTTGGCACCCTGTGCCATGCAGAGGGGGCTCCCGCAAACCAGCAGGGAGCAGCAGCAGTGCTCAGGCACTGCCTGCTGCACAAGGAGAAATGGGAGATGTCGCAGTGGCAGGGAGAAACCCAAGTAATCTGTGTTTGAAATGGCAGATTGTGCTTTGTGCTGTGCTGCACACCTACTGTGAGACAGTCCCTCTTTAGCCGGTTGCTCGCTCACTTACAGACTGCCTGATGCTCTTCAGATAGGATCCTTTTACATCTTACGTTACATTGTCTTACATTATTGTTAACTTCTGGAGCAGGCAGCTCTCTGGTTGCAGACGTGACCTCACTTAACTTATTTTGTTATTGTTGACAAACTCCAGATGCTGACTGTTAAGCTCAAGAGGAATTTGGAAAGTCAGACTACAGTGAACACTGTAGTTGCCAAATGATTTGTCCATCATAAAAAAAAAAGAAATGCACTCCTTTTCAAGGGAGCTACAGCAGAAAGCGATCGAAGTGGCGAAGTCTTCCCCACATACCAAATGTGAATTGCCTCGCTAGCCTGTTCCCATAGTAATAAATTGGATCAACACTGGTATCTGCATTAGAAACCTACACTTCCTGAGCTACCCCACAAACCTTTTGTAGTTCCCGACTAGTGCATCAAGCCCTGCACAATCTGTTTTCCCAGCTGTGCTGCCAGCCTTCGCCGCAGGAGTGCGGCTGGGGCGACGGAGCACATGGCCCTGGACAAAGCCAGGCTTGTCCTCTGTTTGCGGTGTGGGGCTGGGGTGGGGAGGGCAGGGAAAATGCCAGGCACAGTTCAGCCTCTTCCGTCCTGACCCCCTGATGCGAAAGCAAGCTCATGAGGTTATCTGCAACGACATTTTGCTGACATGTGTGTACAGTATGAAAACATTTAGTGATTTTGCAGGCGCTGGAGGTGCGCACTGGCCTTGGGGTGCAGCACACCCGGCTTTCTTCACACACACGCTGGCGCTTTCTTCCTGCGAGGCAAGCAGACGGCCATGCAGGGCAGGCGGCCAGGAGCCCCAGCCTCCTGGGAGAGTGGGCAGTCAGCAGCGTGCCGTGCTGGGAGCAGCCACGGTCCCACACCACGGCAGAGCCTGAGTGCTGATCTGAGATCTGAGCAATTTGTTCTACGGGTTTACTCATTTACTGGCTTTTTGTCCAGTCCAGCCTGCCTGCATCTGTCAGCGCTGCAGCAGGGAGAGCCTTTCCCTGGAGAAACGTACTGCAGGAGGGGAGAGAATTAGACCTCATTAGCAGCAGTGAGGGCAGATATCACCCCAGCAGGCAAAAAACCACCACTCTCACCTTGAAAAATAAAGCTGCTTGTGTTAACATCTGGAGTTTGTGCGGGTGTGCGTGTAGGCATGTGCCAGCAGCATGGAGAAGCCAGGGTTGAGCTGGACAAGGAGTTTGCTGCTTAAGCTATGTCATCCTTGCTTGCTGCTGCCCATAGAAGGAGCCTGAAAGAAGAGCTAAATTTAGCTGGATTGGTGAATTACTCCCCTCCTCAACCTGCCAAAAAGCTGTACAGTTGATCTGGACAGGGGGCAGCTTTTAATCTTGGTGACAGGTTAGCTTTGTCTCAGATGAGAATAGGGTTTTGGGTTGTGTGGGTGTTTTATTTGGTGGTTTGGGTTTTTTTTCGGCAAGGCAGCTGTGCTGTGGTGTGATTCCTTGTGAAGGAGCAGAAACAGTGCAGCAGTAAAGTGTTGCTGAAGTCGGCCAGGACTTTCCAGGACAGACACATGACCTTGTCCATAGCTGCTGCAGATGCACCCACTAACCCCAGGGGTGGAGGTGGCCCTGTGCCTGGCAAAGAGGGCCTGTAGGCAGGTGCCATCCCTTCTGTTTTCAACCTCTGGCAATTTGTTTTAAAGCGAAGATCATACTATGTTTTAGAAACCATTTATTTCTACACCAAAAGAACAGTCAGCATCTAATTCAGAGGTGTCAGCAGAGAAATACCTTCACCACAGATCATCTCTTTGCTATACATGGGTGGAAGTGCTGCTTGGGCATCATCAACCCCCTCATCCAGCACGAGGGGTATGTGCCCCTTCCCCACATCAACTCCAAAGGCACCCTTCAGCAGCCATGTGTGTCCAGAGACACGGGGAGCAGGGTGATGCTGCTGGCAGTCACACGGGGTCTTGCTTAGGGGACTGTCCCAAATGTCTGCAGACAGAAACAACCATGGCCATGGGTTCTGCCCTGGGTTGGACCAGGGGATGTATGGTGGTGAGACCCACCCTCACCAGCCTTCACCCAGTCCCGAGCCTGCAGTACGGCAGGGCAGAGTTGCCACAGAACGGACAGGACCCCATGGGACAGGGACTATGGTCGCTCAAACCTTCCCGTCTTTGCTCCCGGACTCCCTGGTTTCTAGCAAGCTTCAAGTGGACCTTTTTTTTTAATAGGACTTGGTTTGTGACCATGGGGAACAAAGGGGCACCTGGGTGATGCAGTAACGGGAAGCATTGAAGTGGTCAGTCCTGTCATCATGTAGCTGTGCTGGACCCCAAGGAGGCAGCTCTTGGCCGCCTTGTGCCGGAGATGGGCCATCAGTGCCAGCTATGGTCTGTGGCTTGGCTGTGCCCACCTGGCCTTTGCAGGGTGCCAGCAGACCCACTGTCTTCCAGGGTAAACACAGCCACACACTGGGCACCTCTTCCGCTGCCCTGGAAACCCCGGTCCAGTGCACAGGGATACCAGGAGAAAGCAGACACATGTGCCTTGTTGATTCACCTCGTTTATTGAATGCAAATAACAGGGACGCAGGAGAGTTGTAATCTGACTTTGGCCTCTTGATTTTCCTGTGCAATTGACAGCACAAAGGAGGGAAAAAGAAAATAATTCTGTGTATTAAAAACCCACCAAACAGTGAAAGAGGAGGTGAAAAGAATGTTGAACAATTACTGACATCTCATGTGAACAGATGGAGGATTAATAATGGCAAAGAAATTCAAAGCCATGCTGAGCATTCCTTATTGCAAACAAGATTTGGCAGGGGGACAGGGATGATGCTTTCCAAGGAAAAGCAGCAGAGGAGAAACCATTAACACTGGCTTTGTGAGCAGCACGGTTTACTTTGGGAAGACAGTGACCACTTCGTAGCCCTCTGGGGGAATCACCCGCTCCCGTGCATGCTTCTCGCAGTAGATTTGGTCTTCCACAAAGAAGTGTCCTTTCTGCTTGAGGTTGGTGCCGCAGTCACTGCACACGTAGCACTCGGGGTGACGCTGCTTGTCCCGGATCTTCACAAACACCCCTCTGGGGAAGGAACCAGCACCCCTCAGCACCAGGTACCCACCACCGCCTCCCTCCTCCCCCCCAGCTACCTCCCACCCAGCCCCAACCCATACCAGCCTTGAAGGTAGACAATTTTTCTCCCTCTCCTGACAAATCAAAGTATAGGCCCTGTCGCTGGTCAGGCAGATGTTAACTACGCTTTTAGAGCCCAACATGTGCTGCCATGGGAGCCCTCCTCTGTAAAGTGTTTCATAGCACTGGCCTGCCTAAGTTTCACAGGACAGTCCTATCACCTGTGGTGGCAAGAATCACTGTGATGGCATCTTTAGCTGATGGCTGGAGACAGTGCAACAGCTTTCAAATGCCCAGGATCGAATGGCAGGTATCAGCCTGACCATCTGAGGAAGCAAAATCCAGGTCCAACCCAACTGGATTGCAGAACAAATCCAGAAAGGAGTGCCTACCACCAACCGAGGGGGATGAAGGCTGCGCAGCCAGCCACTGCCCTTTTGCTAGCGACTGACATGCCAGGTATGTGTGGAAGAAGCACAGAGAGCAGATCCTGGCTCTGAACTCAGACACTGCTGCTCGGGAGATGCAGTGAACAGGTCCAGCCAAACATGGGCCAGCTCTTACTGGAAAACTTCATAGCTTAACCCAGCACATGAGGAAAACTACATAGCAACTCATTAACTGCCACCAGCAGCAACACAACAGTTTGCCAGGAGTATCGTTTTGTTCCAGCAGCCATCAATGTTTTCCATAATTCATTATTTTTTAGTGCTATTCATAGCCTTGTGCTTGCTCTCCAGATCTACCCATATGGTAGAATAATTGCAGAGTTTATCTCTGATTCATATTTTACAGGGTATGGATTGTCTCTGTAATGACTCTGCCAGTCTTTGGTGCTCCAGGCATGCCAGGACCATGCAATCATGGTGTAGTGAGACTCAGCAACAATCTGATAGCTTGTGGTGGGCAGCATGGGAAAAAATCTGAATTCTTCTGTGACAATGAAGGTGGGCTACCAGCACTTGATTGCTGCAGTCAACTGTTAAGCTAAGGGGGCTGTAAGGAAGAATTTGTGATTGAGAAACTGAATGGTGAATCAAAGACATGGGTTGGGTCCCTCGTGCTTCACTCTTATGTTACAGCAGCTCTGTAGCGAGCTTCCATGCCCTTGCTGTGCTGGAAGTTGGACACACCTACACAAAGACAACAAAAATCATGTGTGCGTAGACACAGCACTGATGTGTGGTCCTACAGCCGAGCCGGGAGCAGAACACAGCTCTCCTGGCCCACGTTGCCTCTGACCACCAAGGCACGTCACCATGCCATGTCTGGAAGCACCAAGACACGAAAAGCATTAAACATACAGACCCTGAATGGAAAAGTCATTTTGTTTCTGGGTGCTGTAAACAGATTTCAGATAGGAAGCAAAACACTGCAGCAACAACTGTCTTGAGGTTTGTCTCATAGGTACTTGCTTTGTTTTCCATTGATACGGATCTGTAGAGGGAAATGCAACTCCTGCCTCACTGTGGGAAACTGCAAAGTTAGTGCTGTCAAAGCTGGTGAGAATAAACATGCCTTGATCTGGCTCCTGGATGCACTGGCTGTGGGTGGGTGTGGTGTTTTGGGTGCAGTGCCTCAGCCCCCCTGCACAGGGATGGGATGCTTGGCCACAGCCTGCAACCCCAGGGACAGGCTTACTTACACAATGCCAGATCCACACTTCTCGCACATGGGCAGCTTCTGGGCATTCCCAATCGATGCGGCCACCTTTGTGGTGGGGGCTTTGACACTCCTAAATCCGGATGGTTTGGTAGGGTCTCCTGGAGGGTGGAAGGAGAGTGCTTCAGAGCATGTGAGCTGCGTGGCTCTAGGCTCTTCCTCCCAAGCAGACGCTCTGCTAGGGAGGGGTGATGTTCTTTAACCCCAGCTCTGAGGCAGGGATTCATGCATGGAAAGGGGGCAGGGATTTAGGGGTGTGTGGGGAGGAGGGAAAGAAGACACGCAGCTGAACCTGGCCCTGGAAATCCAAGGGCCTGAGACCATGGGCAGTCAGATGATGTCTCTTCTCATCTTGAAAGCCCATCAGACTTCAGCTGACATGTCTCGCATGCAGAGATGCACAAAGCAAAGCCAAGCCCCAGCCCCAGCCTTGGCAGCCCTGCCGTGCCCTGATCACACACGCAGGGACAAGCTGATTGCCAGATCTGGGCTCAGAAAGAGGAGATGGGTGTCCTGGCAGGCTAGGGAAGACCATCAAAGTCCTTTACCAGTCTGCTGTCTGGTGTATGTTGGGGCTGGCTCCCCCAAGACTCCTGGAAGATTTGGTTAACAAACTCTTTGTGTAGCAGGGCCCTGGGACACTGGGGATGCCCTTGCGTGCTCCTGCTGTGTAGTGTGCTCCAGGGATGGTATCTCCCTAGTGCAACCTCTCTGAAGCAGGTCCTTCGCAAGACACATCTGCTGACTGGGATGCCTACAATGGCAGCAGATCCTAGATACAGGATACGAGGCAAGCCTTTAAGTATCTGCAGTGAAGAAGGAGTCTCTTAGAAAATGACGTGATTGATGTGACTAGTCTTATCCATATGACTTTTGCAAGAGGCTGAACACCAGGCAACAAGGGAAGGAGGCCTGCAGAGACGCCCACAATGTTTCACCAGGAACAGAGGGGGTCGATGGGCAGACCTGTGTCACCTCAGACTGGGAGGGACTCTTCTGACTAGTGCCAAGTAAAGAGCACACTGCACCGCTTGTTCCTGGAGTAAGGCAAGGACTCACTCTCCAAAGGCACACTCTGGTGACCAGCAAGGTCAGGCACACCTCTCAGTCTGGTGGGCAGCACCACTGACAGAAGAGCTGAGGAGAAAAGCTGGGGAACTGCCCATCGCACCTCCCTGTCACCCAGCCGAGTGCAGAGAGCAGCCCGAGTGCTGCCGCTCGCCCGTGGGGCAGATGACACTGCGTTGCTTTGCCTCGGGGGGCCTTCGGCCCAGAATTTTGCACCCAGTACTGTGCAGGGATGCTGGTCCAGAAGTGCAAGTGCCCTAATGGGGGCTACAGCCCATGCACCCTCCAAACACAGGAAGCACCTGGCCTCCGACAGAGCTACTGCAAGTGACCCTTCCTGGGAATGAAGCCGTGGCAACCACATTGTCAGGCTCTTCTCTATCACGTCTACTCATTCCCTCTGCCTCAAATAGCACTTTGCTCACGTCAACAACATTGACAGTGTGTTTTTAAATCTCTCTAAAGGAATCAGCTTAATTAGATATCCACAGGAATCGTAACCTGTTCCGCCCTGCAAAGCACTCTCCACCTGTGAGTGCAGGGTCAGGTCTAAACGCAGACCAGCCGTGGTGTTTCCACACAGCAGCGCCCACACACAGACTCTGTGTCCATGTCTGTGGCCAGGCTCTCAGCTGGTGTACGCCAGTACAGCCCATACAGTCAGCCATGCCCCGAGGGACACATCTCAGCTGAGGAGATAGTTCCCTGCTGCTACTCACAAGCCCTTGCCTGAAGACAGGCTTGGAGAAGCAGCCAACAAACGTGCTATTTATCTGCCACTTATCGTCACGGACATGATGTGAGTCAGTAGCAGCAGCGGTGTGCGAGGCCGGCTGAGCGGCACGGCAGGCAGGGACACTGTCTCTTCGGGGACAGACATGCCTCTGGGGCTGTGTAACCTCCTGGCCCTGCTCCGCATGGGTGATCATCGGCTCACGGTGGAGCAACGCCAAAGCCTATCCTGGCCTGTGATCAGGCAGGCAAACCTTGTGCCAGAGAATCCCAATAATGCTGCAAATCTTCAAAGAAAGATAAAATTGAGAGGCTTTTGCTTCTTATCTTCTTCAGCACTACTAAGCACAGGGGAGGACCTTGGATGTGTGAGAAGTCCCAGCTACTCCAGTCCCTTCCATGCAGGAGCTGAACCCTGAAGGGCAAGTTGCAAACACTCAATCAGGTAGGTATTTTAACAGCACATTAAAGACTCCAAGAATCTGGTTTCTATCTTCCTTTTGTTTCCTTATTTCCTTCATTTTGCTCTTTCCTTACAGATCACTCAGACCTACCAGCACTTGGCTGATCTGTTTCCCTTTGTGGTAAATAGATCTCAGCACCAGGCTTTTGTTGGATGAAATTGAATGTTCCACTGCCAAGCTAATAACATAAAAGACAAAGCCTCAACTGGCCTAAGGAAAAAAAAGTCATTCTTGGAATTCTTTTCCTATTTATTTGTTTATTTTATTTTATTCAAGGGGAGAAGAGAGCACAATTTGGCTCCCACCTACGTTAATAGGCTTTTTTATCTTAAAGTCCATAGCCCTGAACTGCACAAGTCCAGATGTCAGATTTAGAATGCCAAGCAGAGTGAAGTTTCAGCGATTAAAAGGCTACGAAGCTTTAATGATTAAAAGCTCACTGTAACTCAGCTTCCATATTTTTACATTCAGCTGCAGGAGTGGATCCTTTGTCTTGAGTAGAGGGATGGCAATCAGAAGCTTTAGGACTCACTGAAGAGCCCTATCTTGTGGAACCATTCAAAGTCTTGAATCAAAGATGGTCTTTAATCAGTGAATCTGGCCTCCCTAATCTTAAAGGGGCAAAACTTTAGAAAGTAAATAAGAGTTTTTGCAACTTTTTTAATTCCTTCTTGATAACTACATGTTGTAGGCATTTATTTCTGGAGCACTCACTCAATGAGTAAGCAATAATATGGGCCCATAGACACTGAAACTAACCAAGGTGAGGAAATTCAAGAGTAAAGTTAGTGAAAGGGTCTGTTTCTGTGGAAACCATCTACACACGCTGCTGTGAACAATCACCAGCTAAGGAAGGCAAATAAAGTTTTAGTTGTTGCTCTTCAACACCATATACAGCCCAAGGAACGGCAAAGGGGAAGAGCACACTCAGATTAGGTGTGCACTGAGTGCTTACCTTTCTCTTCTGACTCCAAAATCTCTTGCAACACGAGGAAGGAAGCAGATTGTCTGGGTGGTTCATTTGACTCTTGATTCTCCTGGAGCATCTTGTAAACCTCAGATTCTCTGTCTATGACGATGCCGCCTGGAGGCTGGTTATGCTGATCTAAACTGAGGAAGGAACAGAGAACACACTTGTTAAACGGTTGAAAACTAAAGCCAGTCCCTCTAGCAAAATTTTCACAGTGCATCATATGACTGAAGAATGAACATGCAAAACAAACACACAACACAACGCCATAAAACACAGAGGTGCTCGCACAAGACAGCTGCAGCTCAGGCGGGATTGGCACGCTGGGCTATCCGTGTACGCCATTGCCAACGGGTTCGTGCCAGCCGCCCCCCAGCCAGTCCCCAAGTGTTCTCCCTGCTTCGCAATTACTAAGTACTCCAGAAACTAAAACTTTCTGCCCTGGAAATTACTGCACTGTTAATAGAAAAATTAAGAACTCGTGCTGGGATGGGAATCCCACATGGTAGCTGTGCCGTCTATGCATGTTCCTTGCATGCATAAGCTACCTTAGACTGCTACCTTACACCGCTGTGAACTTCAAATTAAATAAAGGTTATTCCATGAAAAAGAAATCTGTGCAAATACACTATGAATTGGTCCTAAAGGCCACCTTCACAAAGTAACAGCTGTAGAATCTAACTAAAAGCTCCTCTGGTTGGCAATAATTTAATCTGGTTTTCAAGTGAGTGTTATTACTTCCATTTTATAGGTGGAGACTCTGAGCTATAGCCCATTTACAGCATTTAACTAAAGTCAATGAGCAGGCCAAGGGTAGAGGAGATTTCTGACTGCTAAGACTATGCCCTCCTTTCAGCTGCCTCCTGAGGCACTGCTGCTGCCGCTCGTGTCATGAGGGACTCGCACCCTCAGCCTAGAGTCCGAGGTGCTTCAGGGGGAGCTTTACACAGTGCAGGGTGGCTGAAAGGGTGGTCACTGTGCCACCAGAAGGGTCTTTAGGGAAACGAAAAAGAGGCTGGAGGCAGTACCTAGGATGTTCTCCACATCCAGTGGGTACAGGCTAAACTACAGGCTTAAAACTGCAGAAGGATATTCAGAATATCCCTTGGGAAAAGTTTTCCAACAGACAGATATCAAAATAACAGAGGAGATTGCTGTGGACAGGTGAGCAACATCCATACTAACGGATTTAAAAAGAGTCTGGACAAATGTCTGCTAGGAATAATTTAAACCAATGGTTTAAATTGACCAAATGTGGGGCTAGGGGATGCACTAAAGGACATGGGAGGTTCCTGCCTGCCTTGTATTCTGTGGCTGGAATAAAACGTCTCCGGAAAAATGAGACAACTGACAAGTCTCCTCCAGCAGCTCAGTTACATAATGTAGCTTTATAAATGTAAATGGTCTACTAGGTTTCACTGTTCCTGCACTCTGTGATTGCCTGAAAAGTATATAAACATTCTGAAGTTCAGACTAAATTGCAGAGGGAAATCTTTTTCTTGAGGAGGCAACTGCATACTTTCCATGCCAATGTGCAATTGAGTCATCTGGGAGTTACTCTGCATAATAAACTCTTCAAGCATCAGAGGTAAAAATCATCGCATGTGTTATAAAATGCTATTTCTACAAAAAGAATTTCATAAAAGGTTTCCATCTTTAATAATTTTCTGTGGAGCAGGAAGCACATTAGACTTGCAAGCAGTTGAACCCTTGAAGCCTGAATCTCATTTACTGAAGCCTCTCACCCAAAATAAAATAATGATGTGCCTTATATTACACAGAAAATGGCCTAGGTTATCCCAAGCGAATCCATGCTCCACATTATGTTCTTCTTGTGTAAATTCATATACTCCCACCACTCTATCCACCCATAAAAACATTAGGCAAGAAGTCTGTCACTGCAGTTTGCATACTAAGAATGTTTCACTAACATGCATTCAAAAAGCAAAGGCTAAATCATCTTAAAGAGCACTAGAGTCAAACAAAGCCATCACATTTCAACCATGCATTGTGACAGTGTGCAAAACATACAGCTCAGCCCTCCCAGGTACACACCCTACAGATATTCTTGCATATGCAAGACTTCTGAAAGACAATTAAAAAAAACCCCAAATCTTAGAATTTGTACCAGCAGAGTGAAATACCTCAACTTGTCAGGGCAGCAGGCGGTGCTGCTTAAAGAAAAAAAAAAACAAAACAAAAAACACAACACCAAAAAGCACATGCATCTTTTGAATGGGCAAGGCCACAGGCACAGGATAACAAGTCTATGTATGTTGGCTGATTTATGACACCTCCTGTTACACAGGTACTTTATCTGCAGCTATCACCAGCAACTGGTGTCCTTTTCCATATGCAGAAACTTTGTAGGGGACAACTCCAACAACCTTTACTGGATTTCAGACTCACACAACTGTTACTGGATTTCACTGCTTTTACCATGGGCGACTCTCAACGCTGACTGAATTACATTGGATCACTGAGCTTTGAAAATTGGCAAGAAGATGGCAATAAATCCCATAAAGACACAGCCTTGCTTCAGAAAAGCACAGCTTATTCTTTACTAATGTCATTTCACTATTTTATGCTAGCACATTGTGTAAAGTTTACAAGGATCTCATAGCCGGGCTACGGGAAGGCTGAGTACTTGGAGCACTCACTTTTGCCACGAAACAATTGCTGATGCCTGGGGCTCCGTTGTGAGTGCTCTCAGCTGTGTGGACCAGCACAGCCAGCCAGCCGAGCATGGCCGCTCCTGGCGTGCGCAGCATCGACCGCAAGCCAGAGCAGTGACTTACAGCAAGTAACTGGAGTGAGTAACAAGGCAGGAGTAAATCCACAGCCTCCCATTATCTCTTGGCTGCTGAAACATGGCAAAGCTCAGCTGTGTGGGTCCATGGGTGAGCACACCAACTTTTCTGCTTTGAAGCATGCACTGCTTGGCCCAGGAGGGGACTGTGAGCAGCCTAGGAGCTATGAGGCTGTGCCCTTTTGCTCTGTCCCATGGAGGCCATGGGACTGACCACCTCCCTGGACCGCAGGCCACACAGCTGCAAGCTGCTTGGTCACATAGCAGGGTAACTCTGCTGAAGGTTTGTATCTCCTGAAACAATTCAGCCTTGATGTGAGCCCTCCTGTGAGATGGCTAAATGTGCTTTTTGCTTCACCCATTTCAATACTGAAGTTCTTCCTGTAAAACCCTGTGGGCTGTCATTTAGAAGCACAGGCCAGCTGGTTCCCAACTGCCACACAGAGCAAATACCAAGGAGAACCCAGGCCTTGTGATGCTGAGGTTTTCCACAGGTCCTGCAGACCTCAGAGGATGTTGAGCTTCCTCTGCTCCTACAGGCAGAGGCAGCCTCAAGAGCAGCAACCTATGCAGACAAGCAGGCAGGGCTGAGACAACAGACCGGGTCCTCCATGTGCCTGGTGCCTGCCCAGGCTGCTCCAAACTGCTGTTATCAGCCAAAGATGAAGACCCATGGGGACCTGCTTCGACCTGAAATGAAACATGCCCTGTGCAGACCCACGGCCCAGCCCACAGCTAACGAAACAAAAGCACAAGGACATGTGTGGCAGCACCTTCCAGTTGCAAACAGCACAATTGTTTCAACGCAGGAGAAACCCCAGCTTTCAGGATAAAGCACCCGCCTGCCCCCAGCAAACCCATCTGCTGCAGGCGGCTCCTCCAGGAAAGGCACCAGCTGCTGTCAAGGCCCTGCTGCATGGGTGTGCAGGGAGCAATGGACAACCTGACAGGCTGAAATGACGTTTTGGTGCTTCCCATGGTGCTGGACACAGACACAACGCAGAGAAAGCTCCCATGAAGAGTCATGCACTAATGTCAGAAAGGTGAAATGTAAACACTGTTTCCTCGTGACTGGCCAATGCTGTGAGCCACAGACAGGGACGAGGCACTTGTGGACACCAAGATGTGGATGAACGGATGCGCCGAGCCAGCTGCAGAGGCAGCGGGCAGGTTACCTGGGGAAATCGGGGCTAACAGACGAGATCTGCCCCTGCAGGGAATCCAGGATGTTGCTCTGCGAATAGAGCTGCAGGGGAGAATTGAACTGCACGTGCCGCACTTTGATTCCCGGCACTTCCACTTCCACGGGGCTGTTGGGGCAGACCTGGGCCGCGTGCTTTAGCTGCTCGGGCCCCACTCGGACTTGGCTGGGGACGGAGGAGGTGCTGTGCCTCCGCTGCAGTGGCTCGGAGGTCTGTGCCTGCAGAGGGTTATAGATGGAGGCGAAGGGAGCCTGCATCGCGCTCGTTGGCGATGGGCGGCTACGGGCCCATGCGTCCACACGGGCAGTGTGAGTTGTGGTCGTTTAAGGGTTCGTTTGGGTTTTACATTGTGGAATCGAGGGAAGAACACAGAGGGAGAAGAAAGGAAAGAAGGAAGAAATTAATGAAGAGCTAAACCAAATACTCCAAGCGATATAAGCAGTTACAGAATACTGTCTGTTCCCTGTGCCGGAGGGACACACCACTGAATAAATAACTTTACATTAAAGGCTTCTGGCTAATGCTGTGGCTCTGGTCTCACCCTCCCAGTGTGTCCACACAAAAACTAAAATGCAGTCGCTCTACTGATGAGCAGATGCAGGGGTTGTAAAAGCTATGAAGACATGGCAGCAGGGGTTTCACTGTGAAATAGCTACCTGAGCACACACTCATGATCCCACTGTCCACTCAAGCGATATGAGCTTCACTGCTGCCCTTCCCAAAGCTAGCCTGGGCACCTACTGAGGGGCAATCTCACCTCTGATCCCCAAACAGATGTGCTCAGCAGTGGGGCCTCTCCCTGCCCTCCCTGCCTGCTTTGCAACACCAAATCCAGTGGAGATGTTTGCTGTTTTTTTCTGTCTGTACCACAGCCCTGCACTTACATCACCCACCCTCTAAGGATGGAGCAGGTCCCCGTGTCACGTCACCACGTGCAGTGGTGGGATCAGGCTGCCGGGTTCAGATAGGCTGTGTGTCTGCTGGGTGCAGGGCAGGGATGCAGATAAATGCCAGGGAAACTCAGAGCAAAGTCAGCCATACCTCAGCAAAACAGGTGGGCAGGAATTTAAAGGCAGCTGGAAGGCTGTGTGAAGGGAGAACCTATGCATCCTGTGCTTGTGCACTGGGGAGACCACAGAGGGTTTTTAATGGCAGGGTGAGGCCCCTGGCACTCATTGAAAACCAGCAGCAATTCATTTGCTTTTGATGACTTTGTAAACAAAAGTTTATTAGCATCGAATGTCTCTTCAACAGCCTCCCCAGCATTCCTTTGCAACTTGCTGTGTTTTAGCAAGGGAAAGATGAAAGAGATGCCATATACCCCCCATGCAGTAGGGCTGGCAATGGACCTTCCTGCTAGGAGGAGCACAGTGAGTCACAGCACTAGAAGAAACCCACGTCTTTGCTGATCCCTGCAAGAATGAGGGATCACCCACAAGTTTCCAGCCAAATATACCTGGCTTCCAGGGAGTGCTCTCACCTGGAGGAGACTCCAGGCTAGACCAGAGGTGGTATTTGACTGCCAAATAGTCCCATCAGGTTAATGCAAAGTCAGATTTCCCTTGTCCGTGCTGTGTCTTTGCTCAGCTGAATGAGGCTGCTGAGGTCTACCAGAAGCAAATGAGGTACAAACATCTGTTACCTCGTCTGCTAGCACCGTAACTTTGCCTAGAAGGGCCCATGCTGCAGACAGGGCTGCCAGTGCAAGAATCTGGTTTCAGTCAGGGGCAAGTTTTCAGGCTTGTGGTAAACCACAATCTCAGGTCTTTGTGCCTTGCAAAAGCAGAGGCTGAAGATACTTTTGTCTCCCCATTCACAAGTCAGGAACTTAGTTGAGTATCACCTAAATCATTGGTCTTGCAGCTTTTGTTGAAAAGGTGGCTAAAGTCTTACCGGCAGTTTGGTACTGCTATACAGAGACGTAGGGTAGTTAAGCAACTTAACCAACACAGCCAAAAAGATTTCAGAAAGCTCCTGGTTTATTGCTTCCAATGAAAAAAGAGGAACTTTAGGATAACGTAATGTCTTTGGTGAACCTCAGATGCAACCACAAAAATCATCAGGCCCTTTTAAGGCTGGGATCATCCTTTCCAATCGCATATATGAAATCACTCACACAGGTATGAATGTTTCAGCTAATTTTTAAAACTCCTGTGAAAAACAAGGTTCAATAACAAAAAATAGAAAGAGCCAAACTTGGGCAGAGCCTGTCTTATGAATCCCAGGCCAGCCAGGAACAGGGACACGTGTGCTTCCTGCGCTAGCTGGTACCCTTCCTGCCCAGCACTGCCCGCAAAGCCAGCACAAAACGCTAACTTTACAAAGTGCTCGTAACAAGCTATCAGGCACCTGTTCAAACCAGCGGGCTGGTATGTCATGCTGAACGCACGCGGAAACTGCGTTGGTCTCTGCTAAACAAAGAAACAAAACAGCGTTAATTTCATTTCTGCATCTCATGAAACGTTCCTCGCTCCTCCGAGCCCTGCCCCTGGGAACCACAGCCACACATGCGCCTCTGCTCCTTCCCTTGTCCTGAAAGAGAGCTTTTCTGGGTTAACACATTGGTACCCTCGCAGCAAACTCACGTCTCCTGGAGCCTTCCCCTGGGAACACAGGCAGGGAGGGACAGGCGAGGAAGGTACTTACGGCTTGGTAGGCTCCGGGGCCCCAGGTGATGTCTTTGACTCTACCGCACTGTTGAAGGTCTGGATGTTCTCTGGGGAGTAGAGGCCTGCTGGGCTGTTGTACTGAGCAGTGATCACTCTGGGGGCAGAAGCCGTGGCAGCAGTGAAGGGCACCGCGCTCCGGTTGTGTGCACTTCCTATGTGCCTTATTTCCTGCATGCAAAGGAGCAAAGGCAAAAATCAGAGGTGCTCAGGCATGCAGGTGGGATGTGAAAGGGCAGCCCGCAGCAAGCAGCCACCGCAACGGTGGTCTTTGCATGTGGTGTCAGCTGAGGAGCACGCCATCACGACAACCAAAGAAGGTGAGTGTCCTCCACACATCGTGAGAGCCCTCAGCTCTGTCCTGGATGGCTTCAGGCTGACCTTCAGCATGCTTCAGAGTTGACACGTTGGGAACATACGAGCTGAGAAACACTGCCAGAGCTATAAGCTCAAGCTGCCACACACCTGGGAGCTTCTGATTTTAAGCATTTCTTGCAATTCCTGAAAGCAGGGCTGATTTCTATGGAAAAGTGAAGATGAGGGGCAGAAAGAGGAGCATTCTTCAATGACATCTGAAGTTTGGATTTCCTTAGACAAGGGCAGCCCAAAACCAAGAGATTTGTCAGTACTACAAATGCTCTGGAGCGTTCATAGCTGTCTTTGAAGAACAACTTTAGACTTTCTGGACAAGAAATGCTCACAACAAAGGCAGGAAGATGACCATTGTTAATAGAAAAGACTGTCCACAGACAGTGACAGCTAAATGTCAGAGACTTCTTCAGGGCCAGAAGTATGAGATGACCATTGTTAATAGAAAAGACTGTCCACAGACAGTGACAGCTAAATGTCAGAGACTTCTTCAGGGCCAGAAGTATGAGATATCACACAGATGTCCTGGGTTTGCTGCAAACTGGAGGCTTCCAGAGGTATTAGTGGATACTTAGAAACACTGGTTACGATTTAATAAGAAAGGAGTGAAATTCAAGTTAAATAAGACATGAGGTAAGGCTCTTCTGAATCACAGGCAGCACTAAAAAAACAGGGAAACTTCTAAGCTCCATC